TTAGAGTGTTTTGAATATTCTTACCTTATTATTCAGGTAATAATTTTGAACAATCTTTGCTTCCCTCCCATTTTATGTGGAAAACTGTCATGTCTTACCAATAAATATAGTGCCAGCCCACATCTTCCAATTATTTCATTTGCTATTATTATGCATGTGTGATGTGTGGAGGGGCATGTATGTGCCATGTGCCCACGTGGAGGTCAGAAGACAACGTTGTGACTTCAGTTCTCTCCGTTCACCTTCTGTGGGTTCTAGAGATCACACTTAAGTCTCCAGGGGGGGTGAGGAGAGATCTTTTATCCACTAAGCTGTCTAACTGCCCTAGTCATAATATTTCATGGATGAGAAGCACCTTCTGTTTTTAGTATTACGAGAGTGTTTTTCTGGCATGAGAGAGCCGTCAGTAGTTTGAGATGTGCTTGGCCAGAACTCAACCACTGACTTACACTCCCAGCCTTTCAGAACTTTCTTCACAAATGGGTGGTGAATTTTATCAAAGACTTTTATTATATTGATATCATCAGATTTCCCCCTTAATCATACTAATGTGTTGGTTATCTTAAATGACTTTCAAACATTTAAGATTTAATCAATAAACATATCTGAAAAGAGGAAGGACATCTCATTTCCAAATAGTATGGAATTGTTTTTATATGCTGCTGAAAGTTTTATAAAGATTCTGTGTCTGTATTTATAAAAATGGTTCTCTCTCTGTATATATATATATGTGTGTGTGTGTGTGTGTGTGTGTGTGTGTGTGTGTGTGTATGTGTGTGCACGAGTATGCCTCATAGTTACTATGCTCTGCAGATGTTGAAATTCAAGTCTCCTATTAAGCTTTCTTTGCTGGGCAATGGCCAGATAAGAACCACCATCCCCAGGAGGTCTCCAGGACTCTGTGAGTGAGGATTTGGTGCTGCCACGGGTCTTCAGATCCCAGCTTTGTAGTTGACCTTTCTTCTCACCGTGTAATTGCCTCCTTATACTTTTCTGAGGGTGGAAGTGAGCTCTGCATTCAGTCTGTGTATGAGGAGAGAATTTTATGTGATATTTGATCAAACAAAGCAGTAATTTTCCATAAGTTTTCAGACTTGTGTGACTTCTCTTTTCATACCCCCTTTCCTCTGGAATAGAGCTTTGTGCTGGGGATAGTAGCAATGATTTGTTTGTCTGGTTTTTTGTTTGTTTCTCAGCCAGCATTGGTTTTTCCAGGTTTCATTTTCTTCAGCTCCAAGTTTGTTATATATGATGTAGAAAGAAGAAACCAGGCTTTCCCTGCCTTATTCTTCTCGGATCTCAAGGCTCCCATCTGGTCTGCACAGGTCTCCTCAGTTCTCAAATTCTTCTTGTGCTTATCTGATTATGTAGTTCAGGGTTTTCATTTATATTTAGTGAGAGGAATGTCAAAACTTATGTCTATTCCATCTCCTCTGAACCCATTATTTGTACAATAGAAGAAAGAAAAGAAACCCGGCATTTTGTTGGGCCACCATGCACTGAGCACTTCCCTGGAGGCAACTCACTGAATTTTTTTCACTTCTTTTAGTATATGAAATCTCAGAAAGTTAAAGGGTGGGACTGGAGAAATAGCTCAGCAATTAAAAGAGAGAGTGCTTGCTACTCTTGCAGACGACCTGAGTTTGGTTTGCATCATCCATACCAGGCAGCTTACAACCACTTTTAATTCCAGCTCCAGGACATTTAATATCCTCTCTGGCTTCTGTAGGTACCTACACCCACATGCTTTTATGTGCAGGCATACAGACAATTGGAAAATAAAAAATCTTAAAAGAAAAGTAAGGTGAAGGAACTTGTTGTAGATGGTAGGGTAGAGCATGAGGTATCTGTGTAACCAAATTTCCAGGCCCAATATACTTGGTACTTCCCTTCAGTATTTTAGCACATTGTCAGTGCAGCTTAAACTCTCTAAAGTAGTGTCAGGTGATTAACATTCTAATGTTAAAATAACTGAATCTGACCAACGAGAGGAGATAGTTTGTTGAAACCATAGAACTGAGAACAATAAACCCAAAATTTATTTGATTTATCTCAAATGATGACTATTTGATCTCAAAATGGAAGTCCCCTAGTCCAGATCTCATTACTCTATATCATATTCCCTTCTTTAGTAAAAGAGAAATGATTTAGTTGATTTATTATTGTGTGGAACATAGCTTAGTTCATTCAGCAGAGTTATTAAGTGACAAAAATGTTTTGGAGGACCACGGATGCCTAAGAAGCCTGGTAGACCCTTACCCAGTCTCTCTACCTTCTCTCTGCCTCCTCTTCCACTCTCAGGTGCCAGAGTTAGCTGTGTGATAGAGGCCACCCCTCCTATTGAGGTGGCTTCTCAATTAATTTACTTTTACCCCCAAAAGCGGAATCATTGATAGAAGGTATTTAATCTTTCATTCATTAAGATTTTTCTTTGCCGAGTGTGTATTTGTGTGTGTCTTTGTGTGTATGTGTGCACATGAATGCAGGTGTCCTCAGAGATGGGTACAGGATACTAGGTCCTCCAGAGCTTGAGTTACAGATGGTTGCAAGTGGCCCAATGTTGGTACTGGGAACTGAACTCAGGTCTTCTGGAAGAACAGTGCTCATTCTTAAATTCTGAGCGATCTTTCCAGCCCCTACTAAACCCTTTGACCTTCGTTTTCCTATGGCATGTTCCATCCCTTATATAAATATTTTAAGAAACAACATAGAATGATGTGTGGATCAGGAAAAGAAAATATAATCAACAAAACAATTATGAATACTTCTTTTTTTTTTTTTCTGGTTTTTCGAGACAGGGTTTCTCTGTGTAGCTTTGTGCCTTTCCTGGGACTCACTTGGTAGCCCAGGCTGGCCTCGAACTCACAGAGATCCACCTGCCTCTGCCTCCCGAGTGCTGGGATTAAAGGCGTGTGCCACCACCGCCCGGCCTCAATTATGAATACTTCTAAGACATTTTATTTCTTGATTAGATAATTCCTTTTTTGGTGAAAAAAAAAAAACCCTGTCCTTACATTGAAAAAAAATTGAAGTGATTATAAAAATCATGCAAATTATCAGACTCAATGTGATATTTTTCCTGAACTTTCTCAAAAAAGAAAGAAAGAAAAAGAGAGAGAAAGGAAGGGAGGAAGGAAAAAAGGAAGAAAGGAAGGAAAGAAGATTAACCAATAACTTGGAAGAAGCTGTTTGCTTCTCATTCATTAAAAATATATGAGAATAGAAAACTTATGTAACCCACTTGAGAAGTTTGCTTTTCCTTGGAATTGATTTATTTCGCTGGATGCTGTTTATTTTGGCCCATTATTTTCTGTTAATTATATGTTTTCTCTTGAGTTCCTATAGATTCAACAAATTCTAAAGGTAAATAGTAAAATTCATGCCCTTTATTTTATTCTGTTTCAATTTTTTTAAGTATGTGTACGTATGCATTATTTTATATATGGATATACATTCATTTGGTAATTTCATACATGGAGAATATGTATGTCTTTTTCTTTCTAATATAATCTTTTACTAATTATTTTAGAATTTCTTGTGATGTTTCTTGATCGTATTCCCTTCTTTTCCTTTCCCAGCTCCTCTGAGACCCGCCCCTCACCTCTCATCTTCCAACTTCCTGTCCTTTTATATTGTTAATAACCCACTGACTGAATTAGTGCTGCCTATAGAGTCATGGTTGTGTGGCCATCCACTGAAGCATGCTCAGCCTGCCAGGCGCCATGCCCTTAAAGCAAACTGACTATGAGTATTTACCAGTTGTCAATAGCTCCTCAGTTAAGGTTGGGGGCTTGTGAGCCCCTCATGCATCCATGCTGGGACACTGACTGGCTTGATCTCACATCTGAATATTGAGGTGTGGCTCAGTGGTTGACCACTTGCCTTGTCCATGCAAAGCCCTAAATTCAATCTGTAGTATGACCAGTAGATAAATAATGGATATGCATACATGAAATGATGAAAACAATACCAGACTCTTAAGTGGAGCACTGATCTCTGTGGGGTGTATTTTTTGATCACACAAAAGAACAGAAAATGGGATAGAGCTGAAAGGGCAGCATAATTGTTAATAATTCTTGCTGCACAACCATCCGGTCAGGAGTGTTGGAATCCCAGAACTGATCTAACAAGCTGACATCTCTCAAATACTTATTCCCCCCAACTCTGTGAGATTCAATGCCCTCTCACACTCTTCTAGCCTCTGAATGTACACAGGTGTGTGTCGCCTCCCCCAACACACACGTGTGTGCATACATTCAGAGACACATACTCCTATAGGTAACATTTTAAAAAGCAAATATTATTTTAAAAAAGAAAAGATAGCAAGGAAATACACACTGACTGTAGACCACATAGTGGCCGAGACTCTTTTCATGTAATCATTTAGAGAAAGCATTCAAAACAGACAATATTCACTCAGATTTACACTCAGGAGAAAGCTGAGAATTTGAGAGATTGAACAGCTTGCGTAGTGCTGCACTCTAATGGAAAGAAAGCAAGATTCAAGCGGAGCTTGAAAAAAAACAACTCAGTGTTCTGTCAAATACATTAAGCTTGTTGATCTCAACAGCCAGCATGAGTTTAATAAATACACATAACAAGATTTGAAAGGAAAAGGAGAATGAGAGGAAAGTAAAATCTCCTTAAGGTGAAAGATGTAGGATATGTGGGGTTTTGATGCATTCAGAGGAGAAATGTAGACCTGGCAAGAGTCACAAACAGATCTCTCAACCCTGGAAAAGGAAGTGTGTTCAAGACAGAGGCACAATAGGAACCAGATGGAGCCTGTCATGGTGTGGCCAAGCTACAGACCGAGGAGAACACTTTCAATCCAACAGGTGACAGTGGATCAGAGTCAAGGCCTTTCAGGGAAGATCAACCTGGGGCCAGAACAGTTCTCCCGACTAGAATTCCATGTGGATTAAAGGGAACATTGATGTCTGAAGGCCTACTTCCCAGAGATGAGTAATGTGGGACAGAGAGAAACAGCTCGTGTGGCTAAAATAAATGATGGCTCAGACCCAGGGTGCGGTATAATGGAGAAGCCTTCCATCTCTGTGACTCTGGGAATAGTATTTTTATAGTCTAATACCCAGTTTCATCATCAGGGAAATGGGAATGTCTGGCAGACTTTATAACATTGCCCTGAAAAGTGCACTGTGTTATGATACCATGTAGAATAAACACATGCACACCTCTAAAACAGATAAGCTGGAGGTTGGACCCCATTGATTTCATGTGTGGCCCAAGACAGTACTTCTTCACCAAACATAGCCCAGATAAGTCAAAAGAGTGGACAATCATGGTAGAAAGGATCTGACCCTAAATAGGTTCCAAATCCCTGAGTTTACAGTCTTACATGAATGGCTATGCCTTTCAAATGAAGAAGAAATCAGAAATATGGAAGCATGATTGAATTTGGTGGTTCATAAGGGTTCCTACATTGGGTGACAGACATTTGTTCTGGACCCTAACATGCAAGGCTCTTCATTCTGTGAGTCAGACAGGGTGCTTTGTGCCCCAAGGGTCTCAGGTAAAAGCAGCTCAGCCTCTCATGTCACCACAGGTGCTTCCTGCTGAGGCAGCAGCGGAACTGAAGGCCCTAAGTAGGTCAGGTACATGCTACCTGAAACTGCTGCAGACTGTGGGGCCGGCTGCTTGGCTCGTGGCATGAGGACCTTGGCTTCTCTGTTATTTTTGTGTCTCTGACTCGGTTCCTTGTGAACCTAGTGACTAATATGCCCTCCATTGAGCACCCCACCCCCTCTTTAAAAATCAGTTTCTGTTTTCTGAGCACCATCTTCTTGTCTTTAAGGATCCATAGTGTCTTTCTGGAATCTTCAAATACTGCAGTACAATGCTAGGGCATGTTCTACCATTTGTACAAAAAGAAAGAATAAAAATGCATGAAATGAAGGGATTTCAGTGGTCAATAACCTACTAAATCCCTGGGTCAAGGAACTGTTGAGAAATTGAGTTCTCAGAGCAACTTTCGCTATGTATTCTTCCATTAGCTGAAAAAGTTTATAAAGGAACAGAAAGTTAATATTTCAGTTTCCCTTAGGCTAGGCTGCCCTGATGTCTGTCATTTCCCAGTATGGCTGATACTTTCCAAAGTCAGAGAACAGAATTTATTTTAGTTTTTATTTTTAAGATTGTTTTAATGTGATGGTTTGGATGAGAATAACCCTCATAGGCTCATGTGCTTGAGTGTTTTGGGCCCCAATTTGTGGAACATTTTGGGAAGAATTAGGAAGTTTGGCCTTGTTGGAAGAGATGTAGTATTATTGGAAGAGATATGTAACCAGGGGTGAGCTTTGATGTTTCAAAGCTCCATGCCATTCCAGTTGGTTCTCTCTCTCTCTCTCTCTCTCTCTCTCTCTCTCTCTCTCTCTCTCTCTCTCTCCCTAGTGATTGTTGTCTCAACATGTCAGCTCTCGGCTACTATTTCAGAGCCACACTTGCCTACCTGATGCCGTGCTCCTTGTCATGATGGTCATGGACCAACCCCCAAAATTGTAATCAAGCTTCCAGTAAACTTGTTCTTTCATAAGTTACCCTAGTATGACACCTCTAAACAGCAAAATAGTAACCAAGACAATTTATGTCTGTGTTGTATGGACCACTTGTGTGGATGCCTGCAGTAGCCAGAAGAAGGCATCCAATTCCTAGGAACTGGACTTACCAGAGGCTGTAAACCACTCAACATGGGTTTCTAAATGTGAACTCAGGTCTTAGGGAAAAATAAAAAGCTATCTTTTTTTTTTTTTTTTTTCAAACAGAATGTCAGTTGTTTAAGAGCAGAGCAGCGGGTGGAGGCAAATTTGAGCATTCCTTTTTTTTTTTTTCTGAGACAGGGTTTCTCTGTAGTTTTGGTGCCTGTCCTGGATCTCACTCTGTGACCAGGCTGGCCTCAAACTGTGTCTGCCTCCCGAGTGCTGGGATTAAAGGTGTGTGCCACCACTGCCTGGAATATGAAAAGCTATCTTAACAGGTGAGCCATCTCTCAAATCCTGAGCAGAGAATTTATTGAAATTCTCTTTTATGGGTTGGAATGATGCTCTATTGGTAGAACTCTTATATTGAATGCAGAACATCCCTTCATTTAATCCGCAATACTCCATAAACCAGGAATGATGAGGAACAGTTGCGATCCCAGCACTGGGGCGGTGGAGAAAGGACAGTCAACAGTTCATGGTCATCTTTGGCTACATAGTAGTTTGAAGATATCCTGGAGGGAAAATGAGACCCTACCCTGGAGGAAAAACACCTCTTTCAATATTGTGTTACCTAGTTTTCTATGATTGTGGCAAATGTCTTTATCATCTCTTGACTGGGAAATGGATCAGTGGATTAAGTGCTTGCCATCAAACTTAAAGGCTGGAGTTGGGATCCTCAGTAAGTATGGCTGCCTGTCCATAATCCCAACATGCAGAGACAAGATCCACAGGACGAACTGGCTAGCTGAACTAGCTGAATTGTTTGCTCTTTGTTCAATTAAGAGATCCTGTTTTAATATATGAGAAGAGAGTAATCAGGGAAGACAACTGGTGTCAGCTGCTGGCCTCCATATGAATGCACATGCCTGAACACCAGAGAGAGAGAGAGACAGAGAGGAGAGAGAGAGAGAGAGAGAGAGAGAGAGAGAGAGAGAGAGAGAGAGAGAGAACAAAAACCAAGGACATTTTTTATATTCTTATTCGCTGGCTCTTTGTAATCTCCCTATATGGGCATAACAGTGGGAAAACATTGCGGATTATCAGACAAAAATCATGACAGCATTGCATTTACATGCCAGTTTTATAAAGATGTGCTTTTCAACTCAGCATCATCAACGTGCCCTTTGTTACTGATATCACAGATTCATTGTCCAGAAATCTACAGAAGCAACTGAACTAAAGGGAAAGAACAAATGATAAGACCAAGCATTCTGATGGAGGGGACACTTCCTCATTGGAGCACCTTGGGCTAATAGAAAGCTACTAGATGGCATATACAGTTTGGTGTAGATGAACACTGAATAATGAGTTGTTCAAATGGACTGATGAGAAGGAATGCCTGGTGAGTTGGAAAAGGTTTAGCACAATGAATCAAAGAAAACTGAGTTGTTAGAAGGGATGGTGCAAATGCACAAACTTATGTTATGTTTGTGTGTTCATGTGTGCCTGTGTGCACATGTAGGTCACAGGCCAAACATATGTGCTGCTCCATGAGAGACATCTACTTTGATTTTTAAGACAGGATCTCTCATTGAGGGATGGGGCTATTATAGTAGGCCAGACTGGCTGTCTAAAGGGACCCAGGGGTTCTCCTCTTGATCCCTTCCTAATTATGGGTTTATAAGCTTGCCCTATAATTACTGTCTTCTACGTGGGTGCTAATGATTGACACAGGTCCTTACACTTGCACAGCAAATCCTCTACTGTCTGGGTTATCTCCCCAACTAAGAATTATTTCTCTTTTGCAGCAAAGAGCATGTATGGCCAATGCCTTTCTCTCCTAGAGTATGGTGACGGTTGATATTTGAGGAACTCCACAGAAGAATCCAGAGTCACTGTACATAGAGTTGAGATTTAGCTCAGTAGAGGAGCACAATGAGCATGCTTGAGGCCTTGGATCATTCTCTAGCACTCCAGAGGTAGAGAGACAGAGAATGACATACACAGACAGAAACAGGTAAAGAGACACAGAGGGACAGAGACAAACAGAGATAGATGGTGAGAAAGACAGAAAGGGAAGCCTGGGTTCACTCTTCAGTATCCAGGAGAGGCAGAGAGGGGAGACAGTGAAAGACATAAACACACAGACCTGGGTTCAATTTCCAGTAACGGAGAGACAGAGAGACAAAGACAGAGACAGCGAGAGACAGACAGACAGAAGCACAGGAAGACAGACAAGGAAGAAAAGAAAAACATGGAAATAGAAACAAAAATGCCTGGGTTCATTTTATAGTACCCATGAAAAGTCCCTTTTTGTCACCTATACTTGAGTTACAAAGCAGCAGGCCCCACAGAACTCAGCCACAGCAAGGTCATCATATCGGAGAAGTAAGAAAATTCACAGATGAGTTATTATAACAATGTCCAGTATAGTGACAACAATTGCTGATGTCCTCGATCACCTGTCACAAGCCTCACTGGTTTTCACTGCTTTACTAAATGGTAGTACTTGGTCTTCATAAGCACTGATTTGATTGGCTAAAGTCATGAAGAGAAATTAGATAGCTTGCTTCACATAACACACCCTCTCTATCTATGGGCTCTCATATATGTATTTAACTGATTGCAAATTGGAAATGCTCAGAAAATACAGCTGAATAGTGGGATTTATGACTGTCTTTACAACACTAGGGATTCTAAGGTAGGAGCATCACTAGTTTGGGGCTATATAATGAGGTATCATCCATCCACACATATACTTGTAAAAGGCAAACAAAAACTACAGGTTGCATCTGTATTAAACATTCTTCTTCTCCTTTTCTTTCTGCACTTCTCTTCCTCTCTCTCTATTGCTCACACTCTCTATGTACTCTAACAACTATTCATAAGAACCCCTATTTTATTAGTTACTATAATTAGTGCAAAGATGATTTAAAATGCACATTAGGATGTGTATCAGGTTTTCTACTATGTGAGATATGTGCATGTGTATATGCATAGCATGGATATGGCAGGGTAGGTATATAGACGACAGAGGGTGTTCTAGTTGCATTTCTGTGCTGACCAAAAGCAGCTTTGGAGAGAAGGGGGTTATTTGTGTTTGCAACTGAGGTCACAGACCATTATTTGAGAGAAGTCAAAGCAGAAACTCACAATGGAACTCAAATGCAGAGATGATTGCCACTCCACACAGCATTGCCTCCAAACACAGCCAAAGAGGTACATTAGGAGCAAATACAGATACTGGTTGCTAACTGGCTTGCAGGTATTCTTATACTCAGATAACTGTCTCCTACAGTTCAAGACTACCTGCTAGGAAGAGCATCACCCATAGTGATATTACCCTACATCAATTAACAATCAATTCAGCTGCCCCACAGTCATGCCCACTGGTCAATCTTATTTAGGCAACTCAACAGCCGAGGCTTTCCTCTCAGAGGACTTTAGGACAGTTGAAAATTAAAGCTAAGAAAGACAGAAGGCCAACCTTCTGGTGTTAGTCCTCCACCTTATTTGAGAGAGTATCTTTTTGCTGTACATTGCTGTGCATGATAGACACACTCCAGTCCATGACCTTTCGAGAGTTCTCCTGTCTCTTCCTCCGATTGGAGCACAGGAGTACCAGGATTCCAGATGTGCATTACCATACCTGGCTTTTACATGGGTTCTGGTAATCCATAAGATCTCATGCCTGTGAGGTGAAGGTTTTATACCCTGAGACATCTTCCATGTCTGTGGATAGGTTGAGGCATTACATGAGGGACTTGAACCTCTGACTAAATTGCTATCTTAGAACCACTGCAGATATGGAGGGACAATGTACTATTAGTAGCAAGAGATGCAGAGTTCAAACTCTAACTCAGACTGTCTGGCATCAGATCCTATACCCATAACAGGAATCTTTCATTGCCTTAGTGTTTATTGCTAACCTCCAAGTAGATATCAATACCCAGGCATGTCAACTTGAAGCATCAGAGTTAGAAAACAACAAAAGATCAATAGCAAGGACAAGTAGGAAATGAAGAAAAAGCAAGGGATGTGCTTGGAAGAGAATTCAAACTATTCCTCAGCATTTTGGGACCCGGGGTTTGATCCTAGCACCATGCAAGCCTAACAAGCAACACACACACACACACACACACACACACACACACACACACACACACACGCACAAACAGATACAGAGCTCAGAAACAACACTCAGACTGAGACTGCATCCCAAGCACTGCTATGGTTTCCCTTTAACATATCATCTTGCTTTAGTAGTTTAAAAGTAAATCTAGGCAGAATTTTTCTCTATCCTTATTGATAGATCCCCCCAAGTTTGGTTCAAAAGGTTATTTAATTTATCTCTGCTGTCTTTAGCTGTGTTCAACCCATACACCCAAATGTCTACAGGTTGTGCCAAC